AAGTTTTGTGCAAAAACGCATGATCGCTCCGGCTCGCCTGGTGCGTTCCAGCCTGGGTTTGACAAATGACCGCTGGAGCAATAATTCCACTTTTTAGTGAACTGGAAATTTGCATTTTTTCAAAAAATTTGCATTTGTCATTTTTTTACAAAACGAGCATTAACCGAAAAAGCGACCGGACTTCACGCAAAAAACCGGTAATCATGCACCTGGATGTCCGTGCGGCTCTATAATGCACCACCTTCATCCCATCTGAGGACCTTCCTCCTGCGTGCCGGAAAGGATCAAAGCATGGCCAATATGACCCAAGTGTTAGGCTATAACGTAGGGATCATTCTTGCTAATAGCGATCTGCGAGTTTAGTGCGAAAACGCATGATCGCACTGAAGAGCCTGGTGCGTTCCAGTCTGGGTTGTAGATAAACTAATTTTTTTGAATTGAAATTAATAAGATTCTTTGCTGCTGAATTTTTTAAGGTGGCCAAACTTTATTAAAATTGTTTGTGGCTTTTATTTTTTGTAATTTATAACTTGTTTTATAACTTTTCTCAGAAGTCGTTATGTTATTCCCGTTACTACTATAGGTGTTGGGTAGAATAAAATTAATAATAGCAGTAACAACACTGTATTGCTGCCAGTGTTATCCTAGCATTGTTTTTAAACACAGCGACGACCCTGTGTCTATACGTGCGTGTGTGCATGTGTATACATGCATGTATGTGTGTGTATGCATGTGTATGTGTCTATAAATACGTGTTTGTCTGTCCGAGTGTTTTTACTCAGCAGAGACGCGAGCTCTGATGCTGAAATCTTGCCAGTGTACTCTCTGGCCAGGTGCAGAAAGCTGAAATTTTAGGGCGATGCTCCCTACTCATGTGCGACCAAAAGATTTCAAATTCAGCTCCCTAATACGTTCGAGTCTCACGTAGGGACACATGGAAATTTTGACGTGGGATTTAATAAATCGGGGCCAGAAAATCTAGAAAGCTGGAATTCCGAAAAAATGTTCCCTGCTAACGTACAACTTAAAGATTATTTTGAATTCAGCCCCAAGACGCGTATGGCGCTCACGTACGGGCATGTGGAAGTTTCAGCGGGAAAACTGTTAACTCGAGAAACAGAAAAGCTGGAAAGCTAGAATTTTGCAGAAAATTTTTCATCCAAGTGAAAAGTAAAGATTTCAAACTCAGCACTCAGACACGCGTAGTATTCACGCATGGGTACGTTAAAGTTTTCCCTTCCTCTATCCTGCCCCCAGTTACTGCCTCCGGAGCATTTGGGCATCTATCATACACCACCTTCCAACCAGGTTCCTACCTTCTACTCACCGCTGCCCCCTACCCCCTCTCCCCCCGCCTCTCCAAGCATGTTGTCCAGCTACTGAACGCTGGGTAGCTAGCGTCATGCCAAGAGGTGCTGGCAAGAGACGCCTCAGAACAGCATTAGCAGAGAAACGAGTGCACCTCTCAATAGCGACTGAACCGAGTTCAAATAATTGCCGTAGCTGCAGTGCTAGTATCCATTTAACTCGCAGTTTGGATTACATGAGCAGCTGTACTTTTATGAAGATATCCGTTGTTCGTAGTAAACCTGGCATCTGCGGCTCATGTCTCGTGCTTGGATATATCAAATATTGCTGTGGGCAGTCTTCTGCTCCTGAATATTTGCTGGGCTGCTGAATTTCTTTCTGGTGATTGCTTGTTCCGTTGTGGCCGGAAGTACGTAAAAAACTAGTCCTCATCGATACCAATTCCTCGCAGGTACACTAGACTGATTTCAGCCATAAGTTCAGTTAGCGGAGCAAATTTCATTTCAGGCTTCTGCGCTTCACATCATACTGTGCATACGGGCTGTGCTTCCCATGATTATACAAATTTGTATTGTAGCATAATACTAGCGATATTCGCTTCCACTGCAGCAAAAGCATTGCTTATGATGCTCCTCATAAGGTCTTTTTTGTGCACCAGCGACTTCCTGTTTGTCGGTCACTGAAGTCGACATCGACAACTGGCACACCATACAGCAGTACAATTAACTTCCTGAACTTCAAGGACCAGGACATCACAAATTCTAGCTACTCGGATCCCAAGCAGTCTCACTATAACACGAAAAACGCACGATCGCACCGGCCTGCCTGGTGCGCGTCGCCAATGATCTTAATTATTACTATAATATTATTAGTTCACATACTTATCTGAGATGACCGGGCACGGCAAGCACTGTTCATTCTCGTATACGAAGTCGGATACATCGAATCCTAGTATACGAAATCACGGAGCCTGAAAGCTACAGTAAATTGGTACCTTTCAGCAGTTACATTATGAGAGCAGTGCCTTGGGATCGTAGTGTTTGTTAGCTGAGGAAGGGAAGCAGAAGGAGCCGTATTCCCCAGTCATCTATCGGGGTGTGTGACTCTAGGTTTGATGGCGAAAAAATAAACGGAAAATCCCTCCGTGATCGTTGCTGTTACAGCCAATGCTGCTCAAATATACACATTTCATATTTTGATGCTAACACTTTCAAACAGCGAAGAAGCGGTGTAATCGTTTTAAGGTAGCTCGTGGGGTCGTTTGCTGATGCTGTGAAGAGACGTCACTCTGCAGTCTTTCGAGTTGCAGCCTCGATTGATGGTCGTGGCGCGTTCACTTTCTGGCTCACTTGCAGAATAAGTTGATCCATCGATCAGATGTAGTCAGTCAAACTCTTGGCTTCGGCATTTGACGCATATCAGTTCTTTCCGTCCTGCATCTCTCGGTACCAATATAGCTCACATACGATCTCTTGCCCGCACCATTGCTACTTTTCTCTCCCGATTATCTCGCCACCGCGGGTATTGTTCAGCTTAGTTTAGTTCGGCCTTTCCTTCTTGCTACTAGTAAATTTAAGTGCTGCTGGCAATAACATTCCCATTTACATACTGCCTTGCGTTAAAAGCAATTACCACAACCGCTTACATTGAAATGACGGGAGAAGTTGGTTTGTGCGTAGCCTAAAATCATCGTAAAGATTTCCTACACGTGTTTAGTGCATCCTCTTACATAGAAGCTGCACCAGCTTATCAGCTGAAATAGCCATCTCCGCCTTTGATGCAAGTGCTGTTTTTCAGATTGTTTGGCGTTTATTTTACATACTTATAACATTTCCTGATTTTATGCATGATCTGGGAAGAAATTTTAGACTCTTACTATTTAACCCCGAGATATTTCAGGCACTTTTGCCAAATTTGATGAGCAAAATAAATCAACAGTCCAATGACATGTATCATTTGATGCCGGTCAAAGTCCTGAAAGCTTCATCACAAGTCGTTGCTGGTATTAAATATAAGCTGAATATACAAGTCGCAAGATCAAAATGCAAAAAAAGCGTAAGACTGATTTTGTACACTGAAATTTTCGTATTAAGGAAATCCGGATAAATTCACAGATCTGTTCATCTAGCCACACTCTTTTC